AAAAAAAATATTTTTTAAAAACTGTAAAACGTGCTGAAATATAAAACTTATTAGACCAGCTAAAAAAAAATATGGTCAAATAAATTACAAAACATGAAGTAAAGCTCTCCTTTTTAACTTAATTGTTGCATTTTAAGTGTATTTATTTATTGGTCCATTTTTATATTTGTTTTTATTTCTAATTATGAGTTTCATTCCTCCATAATTCTGAGCTGCAGTTTTACTAAAAACAACTAGATGTCAGCACATCACCTATAAAACAGTCCTCTGCTCCAAAACCAAGAGTTTGTTTCTGTTTCCATCACATGAAATAAAACAAAACGTGGTCAGAATTATCAGGGACTTTGTTTATTGTTGCATATTTATCTCATCTTGAAAACAAATCCAATTCCTCTTCAAAGCATCAGGAGCAGAAAAACACAAATTTCCATCAAACCCCACATCCCTGCAAGAGGTTTACTGCGAGGTCGTCACCAACGTGTGTTTCAGCAGAGCCGGGTGAGTCTGAAGAGGAGCCGGGATTCATTCACTCTCATTAGAAGTGCTGTCAGTCACAACGCTGAGCATTTTTTAACAAAAATATTCATTATACAAGAATAGAAGGCAGAAACCCTAATGAACCCACTGCTTTGATTAAAAGGTCAAATTGATAAGAATGATCTCTGAACGTGTGGTTTTGGGGTTTTACACGGATAGTCAAATCTGTAATAAACAAATCAACATTTTTCAAATAGAAAACAGTCCAACACAACGAGGCCAAGCTGCGTACAAACAGGAACTAAAGGTCTGTTTACACAAACAAACAAAGCAAAAGCTTCACCATGTAAACCATCTGGGGACTCTGGAGGAACTGAACTTGTGGAGTTTTTCTGTAAAAATAAAAAAACCTAAATAAAAAAATAAAAGAAATCTGGACCTCCTGTTATATTCTGTCTAACTTCTCACTCAGAAACTCCTCCACACTGTCGGTGTTCCACTTGAGGATGCTGAGCTCTTCAGCGATGTTCCCGTTATCATCCAGAAGCTTTAGAACCGGATCAGAGCCTCGAACGTACTGCGGAGAGGTKAACAGAGGATAATCAGAGGCGGGGTTAAAAACTCAGGATGGTCTTTTGAGGCGGTGCTGAAAAGACTTGGTCTCTACCTTGATCTGAAGACCTTTGAACATTTTTGGCTTCTCGCTCCTGACGAAAGCTGAGGAGGAAACGCAGCAGACAGAGATGTCAGAAACAAAGTGCACACATATGGCACAGATGGAGCTCCAGACTTCTGCAGCCCACTTCACACAGAGCTGCAGGAAGCTCAGAGTTTGAGACTAAAGACTTGTGATGAAGGCACTCTTAATCAAAGACAACCTTCAGTTTAAAGCAGATACTTTTTTTTATAAAGTTAGTAGTTAGTGGCGTCTTCTAAAAGCTGGAGCTGCAGCATGTTTGACCTGTTTGAGTCAACGCCACATCCTTTTTGATCATACAGAGAAGGATCACACATGTAGGACATACTGTATTTCTATTTGCATACAAGGAGGTTCTATAGAACAGCTGGAGCTCAGAAACCAGGTGACCGTGTGTTCGGCTGGTGAAGCTAACGGCTAACGCTAAACGGTCCGGAGTCTGGATTTCCCATTACTGTACATGTTGACAACAGAAAAAAGGACTGACGATGTAGAAATCATGAAAACTATTAATATTAACAAGATTATTATTAATGTTTAACAGTTTATATAATCTATCTAATGTTTTAAATAATGTCAGAAAAGCTGTTTGTGTTATGGATTTATTAACAGAAGATAAACAGGAAAACGTCTCATTTTACAACAAGTCAGCAGATTTGATCTTATTTAGCTCAATGTGATCTGAGCAGAACATAATGTTAAAATAATCTTACAAAGTCCATGTAATCACTGTTATTTATTGAACTGTTAGTAGATATTAG